AAATCTGAATGATTCATAATTACAGTCTTACAGTTTAATAAACATTTTCCAGTTTTAACACAGAAATTTTACATACCTGAGTCGAAGTTAGGAGATTCACTATCGTCTAATATTTCAATAATATGATCCATGTTTCGAATAAATTGTTGATATGTTTGCGATCGAGTGACTTCTTCCTTCACACACTTTGTGTTCGAATGAGGTGTTATTCTTTCGACGCGACGCATTTTTGGCTTTGAAACTACATTATACAATTTTGATAATTTCGTATTTATAGATATTATTTAAGAATTATTACTTACATATTTGTTCTGGTGGGATGTCACCAATTGATATGGCAAGTTTTCTTTTCGCAGAGAATCGTTTTTCATCGGCTTTTATAGTAGAAAATGTATCAATAGGGATTTTGACTGTATTATTTGTAGTGGAAGCACACCTCAATGATACACATTCTTCCGCAGTCATAGGCAGACTACTCAAGTTTTCATGTTGCTGCTGACACGTTTCTTGTAGTAACCCCATACTTCTAGCCAATTCTGGTGACTTTTGTACAAACTTTTTAATACTCTGTTGCATAAGGCGAGAATCCTCAATACTAAGGCGATTTATACATACCCGGACCTGGGACTTGCCACTTGAGGATGTAGATGTCGATGTAGTTGTTGATACATTTGGGTTTGTTTGGTACGTTGAACTTTTATTAATCATGTGTAAGTTGGTACTTTCTAACAAATGTTGCGGATTTAAAATGCTGACGTCATGAGTTTGCGTTTTTTTTTTTAAATATTCAATTGAAGAGTTGTGTGTTTGAGTGGTTTCTGTTTCAGTGAAAGGCGGACTTTGTACATATAACACGTTTGGAATATTTACAGAATTTAAATTAAAATTTGACGGGTCTAAGACATGGGGAAAAGTAGGATAAATATTTTGACTTTTACCAACATTTGCTGATACTTGATTGAAATCATGTTTTAAATTAAAATTGGTTTCTTGTTGATGAATACAAAATTGTTCTTGTATTGATTGCATCGTACTTCTTTCTGGTGTATTAGACTTTTTTTTTGGAGTATTTGGTGTAAGTATCTTAGTCACATTTAAATCTGAGTTTTGAATTTCGTCATCAATTTTATTTTTCTCTGTTGGAAAATTTATTTGTGAAAATTCTTCTAAGATTTCTTTTGAGGTCATACTAAAATAGAAAAATGCATTAAACATTAAACTTGTATTATAACAAAGTATAGACCCCACCTATTAAGATGATTGATACATGCTTGAGAGCTTTGCAAACGATCTTCATTTGAAATCGACAAATTTGTTGGTGATTTATAACATTCCGGTATTGAATAGGAATCAATTTGCATTTTCTTTGCTTCGAATCGGAGATTAGCAGGATGTTGATTCGGAGAGCCTGTGGATAAAATTTATGTAATACACAAATGATTGTTTTATTAAAACATACCTATTTTTATGGAAGTGTTAAAAACCGCAGGTCGAAAATGATATATTCCCTGTAGAAGCTCGGGATAAGTACTACAGTTAGTTGTTGCTTCTTCAACTGGGCAATTTATTAACTCTCTAAAATACATGTTTTTTTTTTAATAAAGCGAAATATACAACCAATTAAACAAACTAACATATTATCAGAGTTTGTTCTTTCAATGGCAGTTACCAATTGTCGAACTAGATTTTCATTCCGCATAGAAAGTAAATTGTTTGCTTCGTTAGCTACCAAAGCGTGGAACAATAAAGATTTATTTAAGGACGCTGCACTCTGCAAAGAATCCGCCACTGGTAGCTCGCTTAGCACTTGGATTTAAATGAGGAAAATAAATATAAATTTTTAATCATTTACATACGTGTTATAATATTTTTCACAGAAATTACTTACAATCAGAAGTGCTGGTTAAACCAGCTAATGTTGTTACAGGTACGGTTGGGTTGTCACGGTCCCCCATTTTAAATGAAAGTATAAACCGACAGAATGTATTTTTTTCCGAACTCCGATTCTAAGGACTATAAAAAATATCTTTTATAGAACATAAACATGTTAAACAATGTTTACATGAACATATAGAATAGCGGTTTTATGAGACACTGTATATACTAGATTTAGTAGCTCACTTTTGTAGTAAAAATATATCCGTTTTTTTTAATTTATAATTACCATGGTACATGGTAAGGTACATTACCATGTACCATTAACCTATTACAAGCAAATATAATTTACGAATTGGAATAATAAAATGAAATTACTCCAGTGCTTCTTTGCTTTACAATTAAATAGCACGTTATGCATTTACTTTAATAGTTTTAATATAATAGGTTTGAGAAATAGCGAGTTCGAAGAATATGGCCGACCTGCAAGATAGTGTGGCCGCGCTGAATTAAAAAAAAATTTCCTATTCAGACCATAACGTTAACAATACATATTTAGTTTAAGTGCCTTATCACACTATGTTATGATCAACGTTGTTTTCAAAGAAGGCCAAACAACAGTAGAAATATCATAGGCTTGAAAGATACACATAAAAGCGAAATAATTGCATATTAGGGAAGTATCGAGTTGAAGCTACTTCTGCCGTCCCGATTACAACAGTAATTATTAATTGTGTAAACATGGCTTAATTTCTAAAATTCAGTTTTTCATTATGGAAAATGATATGGAAATCCCGCCTACACGAGAAAAAGTATTGTGCAATACAGGAAAAGCTCAAAAAACGACTATCAGAATTAAATGAAATTAATTAGGAATTAAATTACTTTATAAATATATGTCGTTAGAGTATTCATCTTGCGATGTGGAAAATATATTTGATCTTAGTGATTCTTAGAAATCAACAATTCAATTTTGCAATAAACGGGTTGCATATGAAGTTTTTTAACTATTTAGTATATTTATTAGTACAAACTATTAGTATACAAGTAAAAAAAATATGCAAACTTATGTAAATGACTAATTAATCAAATTCGTTTCTTAGATCAAAATTGATTTCGGACCGAAAATCGTCTTCTAGCACAACATGCACACTTTTTTGCTTACTGTTTTCACTCACACAAGCAAGTGAATTCTATTTTTAGATTCTTATGCTCCCAATTTTACGCAAGCAGAGAGAGCAATTATTACCGCCACCAAAAAAGTTTCTGCATAGTGCAAAACCAATGTATGGACGCTATGCATCTTATTATTCCATGTCTTTGCTTTAACACGATACTAAAAGGGCTTCTATTTATCTTACAATGTTGGCTTTTCTGCAATGAATCAGGCACTCACTTAATTTGATTGCGTTGAAGTGTAAGAAAAGAGACAGCCATGTTTTGTTATTATTCGTAATATTACAACAAATTGGCGTATTGGAAAATATAATTGCCTTTCTTATATGAAAGAAGTCTCACAAAACTGTCACGGTTTTAATATTCTATGATTTTGGCATTTTTGCCAGTTTTTTCTAATGACCAAAAATATCATATCATATCGTGAACTACAAAAGCTGTTAAGATTAACAATGCAGCTTCAAGTTACAAAGACGCAGCGCGAGTTTGTTTCCAAATGTTGCCACGCCCACTCTAACGCTCACAAACCGCACAAAACTATCACGGCCACATTTAATTTTTTTCATATTTTTCTTGTAAATTTCTATAGATTTGCCAAAAACTTTTTTGCCACACCCACTCCAACGCCCAAAACTGTCACGGCCACACTTTTGAAAAATGTGACATATTTTCTCTTTTTTAATATTATATTTTCAGATGCAATGATCCGAACCCCAACTGAAAAACCCGAAAAATGTTCTACTGCATTACTCCATATGCTGAAAGGGCCACCTGGTACGATATTCAAAAATGAATTCCAAGGCAATCCGACAGCATTTAATCAGAAATATCGCCAAATAACCGACTGCTTCGTCTAAACAGCCGACGCTCTAACCAACTATCTCGAGCATAATTTTTTCTAAAAATTAATGGTGGTAAAATGCTGATGGTGTTTTTAAGAAATTGATCTTAAGTTCTCGAACTTAAATCAAAAAAAAAGGTTTGACAGCGCAACTGTTAGAAGCTTTTACGATTATCAAGCCAAGCCAGCCAATTTATTGGCTTGACATCCTATAATTTGAGTGCGTAAAACACATCAATCAGAACTGAGTTAACCTTTTTCAATATGCACTTCTAAGGAAACCCATTAGTTTTTTCGAACTAATAAGCTCGGTGATGAGCTCTGCAAATGTTTAGCGTTCAGGTAATACCTGGTGGTATTTATTTCGGCTGCACAATGCGTAAGGGTCTGTTTAACTGGGATTTACATTTTTCATGTCTTCGATTGGAGCAAAACGAAGTTTTTAATCGGTGCCTTTAATATCGTGACTGTTTAGTAGCGATTAAAGCTGTCTTCTGATATATACTCCATGTTATTAGTAAATGGATTGACATCCAAAATTCGCAATACATTTTAGAAAATTATTGTGAACATTTTTTGTAAAAATATTGTGAAAACTTTTTAAAATAATTGTCTATATGATAAAATATTTATCATCAGAAAAATCTAAATATTGAGTATTGATATTTTTAAAATAATTATGTTATTGTTTCCCACTCCGTCAATAGCGCGTTTGGGTTAGAGCTTAAGATTTATTTTTATTGTACTTATAAAAATAAATTAATTACAACTATCTTATCTTGAACATAGTTTTTTAAATTTCCAGAAATTTTATAGAAACCATCGCTTTAGACTGTTTTAATTTTTATTCTCGGTTTAAGTATCTAATGAAACAAATTTTTAACATGTATTTTAATTTAATCTTAAGCTAAACATTTTGCGGGTAATGCTATTTTGAATGTTCGCACTTACTTTTAGTAGGCATATTGATGCTTATTTTTCCAATTGTGATAAGAGGTTGGATGTACTGCCGCTTCCTTTTCCTTCCGTTTCCCTTAAGTCTCCTATCACTTTCATTAGTGGGACCAATAGGAAATTACAAAAACGCTTTAATCGATATATCGTGAAAAAATATCACGATATTTATTTAGTTTTTTCCAAAAATATCGTTATATTGATATACTTTTCACATCCCTAGTACTAACATAAAACACACAACTGTAATTTTCAGGTATATTGAAATATTTTTAAATACATTTGCAAAATGGCACATTTGCTTAAGTGAACAGTGTATTTGTTTTTTTTGTATTTTGTTGTAGATTATCTGTTTTTGCCTGAAAAGACAACACACAAAAAGACAGACACAGTTGATAGTCATGAAATTTATCGGCCTTTGAAAATAAATTAAAAACATTACTGAAGCTTGTTGTCATCATTGTTTTAAAGTAGAGCTACCGTTGCTGATACTTTTGTAAATGGATCTGTATGACGGCATTGATACGAGGGCGCGTTCAAGCCAGATCGATGGATGGTCTTCGGGAATAAAAATGTTGCAGACCCAACTGGCAGTAAAAATGGCTGTAAAAAAACCAGTGAGTAATAGCATCGGTTGATATAAATCATACTTTTATGAATACACTCTATTCAGCTCATGACGCCAGTAGTCAATCTAAGAGCCAAACGCCTCGCAGATCCAGAAGTTACATGTTTAGCTCCAATGACTACGGTTGTATCCAAGACTTTATTAACTGGCAAAGCTCTTCCGCCCATACTGGAAAGAGTAAACAATGGCGACTGGGACGTTACTGATGAATACGACCCGCAATGGCCAAATGAATACGAAAAACTCAAGGAGAAAACTAATGGCAGTGACAAAACTCGGTCTTTTGTTGGTGTCGGCGCAGATGGATGTGATCGAGAAGATAGAGATAATGACAAGGAAAAAGATAGGAAACGTGGACGTGTCGGTCGTCGAGAAGTTCACAGAGACGATGTCTTAGCTCCTAATTTGAAATTCAGCGGGTTTGGACAGCGCCAAAATGATGATGACATATACTTGCCATCCGCGGGATCTGTAGCTAAGCAGGGAGGAGCCACAATCGCTCCCCCTCCGTCCCTCCAAGAAATATCAATTGATAGTGGCTGCGAAGTCTCTAATACAATGCCGTATTCTGCCAGTTCGGTAGCCGCCAAAATTATGGCTAAATATGGCTTTAAGGATGGTCAAGGCCTCGGAAAATCGGAGCAAGGTATGGCCATAGCCCTTCAAGTAGAGAAAACCTCGAAACGTGGTGGACGGATCATACACGAAAAAGACTCTTTTTTGCCACCTCTGGCATTGTCGCCACCTTCGATGGGCTTTCAAATAGGACCAAGTCCCAGTCATAAGGCCATGCTTCTTCCCCAGGTGGCAGGCAAGGCGGCTGAGAGTGGCGAGACCGGAACCAGCATCACGGAGATTATGAAATCACCAAGCAAGGTTGTTCTTCTACGTAATATGGTAGGACCTGGGGACGTTGACGAAGAATTGGAACCCGAGGTAAAAGACGAATGCAACACAAAGTACGGCGAAGTAAACAGCGTCATTATTCACGAATCGTTCGGAACTGTGCCAGAAGATGCGGTTAAAATATTCGTGGAGTTTAGACGTATCGAAAGTGCCATTAAAGGTTGTTATACATATATGCTTTGTATGGTAAATAATTAGCTTATATTTTACTTTGCAGCTGTAGTGGACCTGAACGGGCGCTTTTTTGGAGGACGTCAAGTACGAGCGGGGTTTTACAACTATGATAAATTTAAACGTTTTCAATTGTATTAGCACTTATATTCGTACAATTAAGAAGCGGCGTTCTGACTGTGTAACAGAAATCAGATTGCAATCCTGTTTTACTGTAGCGCTTGAACAATTTGAACTCAATAATTTTCAAATAACGATATGAAGATTAGTTACTGGATCATTTTTTCTAAGAGCGAGTAAACGGTGTTATAAGCCATGGATACTGCATCATTGCGTTAAAGGGTGTCCAGACATGATCAGTCATCTGAGGATATAGAGAAAGAATCTTGCTAGTAATCAGCTTTTAGGACGTCTAGTATTTCGGCATTTTCTAAATGACATTTAATGAGATTTCCAGATTAGTCTTATCGTCCGAAACGTCCAATTGGGTAATGCCTGTGACAGAGGCACTATCAATGGCTGATATGAAAATGAAGTTTATAAAACGTCCATTCATTCATAAAACATTTTCCAAAAGTGTGGTCACAGTGGGCGTGGACATTTAAGCATTTCGATCAAGAATATACATAATTATAAGCTTGCAATATTCATAAGTTAAAAAAATATAATTTTTATTTTTCTTAATTTAGGTCTCAAACTGAACTAAAGTAATTGACGTTCAAGCCTCGGTCTCGAGCTTTTAAAATATGGACTTCGGATTTTAGGGTTTAGAGAGAGCTTTGGAGTTACTAATTCTGATTGTTTTTGCATTTCTCTTGGATTCAAGTGCATTCGCTACTGATTATAGGCACGATTCTTACGATTTTATTGAAATCTAAAACTTCTGTCTTCGAGTTTGCGAGCCCGAAATTTGAGCGTGGGAACATGACAATTGTGTGAGGGTTTAGAGAAGAAATGTTTAGATTAGGCAATATATTTTTAGTCTACTAGTGGGTGATTTGTTTCAGGTACATCCTGTGTGTTTATTCCATTCAACCTTATCTTGAGGATTCATATGACAGTCTGGTTCTTATCGCGCATTGATTGGGTACATAAAGGTAGTGTAGGGTGTGTTGGTTACAATTGTGTTTATGCTAAGTAGGCATATGCTTAAGTCTAAGGGACTTGTGGATATGTCACTCCCCAACCATTGACTTTGGCTTGTCCTCAGGTCGTTAAATTTGGTTATATCATCATATTGTTTTCGGGTTGAATGTGATCCTTTACATTGCTATTTAGGTTCGAATGTTCTTCATTTTGTTTAGAATATTTTACAATAATATTCTTAGGAATATTCTTGAACTTATATGCTAGATACAGGGTTAAGCCAAAGACACTAGAATAATAAGATGCGTAACGGCCATAAACCTTTTTTTTTGGTGGCGGCAATAATTGCTCTCTCCCCGCTCGCATCAAATTGATACCATAAAAATCTAAAAAAAGAAATCACTTGCTTGTGTTAATAAAAACAGTAAGCAAAAAAGTGTGCATGTGTGCGTAGTTGTGCTAGAAGACGATTTTCGGTCCGAAATCAACGACACGAATTTGATTATTGTTTTGGTCAATTTCGTTGTAATATGATCTAATAAAGTATTATTTAAAAATTTATGCTGTGACTATTATTTTGTTACACTCGTTAGTTTTCGTTAGAACTTTACATATCAACTTTTATTGAATATATGCAAATGCGGATTTACGTATTATTAAAATTTGAAAAAAAAACTTAGCAAACGATGAGCTCTATGTATTTGTCAGCTTTAGGCGAACGGATTAGGAGGAATTAAAAGAAGAAACAATAAATTTGGCGCGCCACCCACCCTAAATTACATAATTTCATTTTAAATACTGAAAATTGCACAAGTATGCATATTTTTTTACTTGTATACTATTAATTTGTACTAATAACTATACTAAAGAGTTAAAAAACTTCATAAGCAACCTGTTTATTGCAAAATTGAATTCTTGAGCCAGGACCAGCGCACCTATTAATCACTAACTACAAATATATTTTCCACGTCGCAAGCTGAATACTCTAGCGACACATTTTCTTGTATAAAGTAATAAAATAATTAAATTAATTAGGTATTATTATATACATTTATTCACCTATTACTCTTCTTATGATCTATTTAAATAATTATGTTAAATTTGAGTTTTTACATGGTAGCAATCGATTACAAATAATATAGGTTGAAAGTCCATAAACTTCTGAAGTGAAGGGCATATTTTGTCAAATTTACGATACATGAGCATACGTGTGCACACATACAGTGATCGACTGTCGCTGTATGCGTACAAGAGAGCTGCTGGCTCTAGAGCGCTCTCTATCTGGCTCTTGAACAAAAATTCGAGAGTCTGGAGCCAGCTCTGGATCCAGCACAAAAAAATCGTGTACAAAAAAAATCGTATGGCGTTACGCATCTTATTATTCTAGTGTCTTTGGTTAAGCTGATAATCATAATAACGAATATATCAACGCAAATAATTTGGAATGCAATAGTGCTGTAGTGCTTTACATGAGAGTTTATCTTATTTGTTTGTTAACTTGTAACATTATTAGTAATATAAATCGTTTGTGTAAAATCCGCTAGATTTTTTGAAGTTATGAATTCATCAATTCGGATTGCACAATTTTTAATCCCTACTATGTTATTTCCTGATATTACAATTTTGTTATTAGTGCAATTTTGATTTATAACTGTTTCTGGTAGATTCCAGCTAATAAGTATATTCGGTTCTATGTAATTGATTTGAACATTTTTTGAATTATAGTGTATTTACACTGAGTTTGCTCCTGCTTGATTAATCCAACTCTAAACTTGTCAAATATTCCATTTTATGTATCCTTATGGTATACTTGATTATTGAAAATCAAATGATTATTGACTTATCAAATATTTCCTCAGTTAGAATCCATGTTCATCTGGGTAAGGAATTACTTGAACTTAATCGGAACTTTTGTGATTTCGCTTGGAAAATGGAAATAATTAAAATTTCGTTCGTTTCTGTTTTGAGCCAAGTTGATGTTTTTATCCATAACATTTTCTCCGAGTTTACTTGTTTCAAGTAATCTTGTTTTAACAGTTTCTGGTTAAAGATATCTAGCTTAGTTAACTGCATACCCAATTTGATATCCTCTATACATAATGTGAATTGTTGTAAATTGAATATCAAAATCGCGATCTGTTCTATTCTTTCTCCTGAGCTTGTTATTAACTGATTACGTATTTACTGATTACGTTATAACCATGTTTACGTCGTTGTTTTCCACGGAACTTTTTGAAGATTTATTAATGTTTTCTTCCAAATCAATCCTATCGTCTTGATAGTATAGTTATAAGGTGCCAAATAAATATTTATGACTTTCCTACTACATTTAACTTTTAAATTTTTAATTTTAAAATTTAACTTTAACTTTAAAAATTTAATTCTTTTTTAATTTTAACCTAGTTTACTAGTTTACTAATTCTCAATCCATTAATTTCCCGCTTTAATTTCTCAACTAAATATTGAATTTGGGATACATCGGGAAAATCGTTTGCTACTTCTACAGGTTATCGAACATAATCATTGTTCTTGTTATATTTATACTTAAATAATGACATTCGTAGCTTATCGGTATTTCCATTGTTCCTCTTTAGAGTATAAGGTATTCTTAGCACTGAGTAGGTTTACTTCTATATTTACTTCATTGGACATTGGTGACATATGGTCATACTTCCCATATTACTTATCTGTATGAGATAAGTAATTTGGGAACTCTCTTGGTCTGGTCTGGAATTATTGTATTTACTTTTAATAATTTTCTTATGCTTTTTAAATTTGAAGTGTACGATTTTTATACCGCGATTTGTCTCTTCAAAATGTTTTTCATCCAATTGTTCAATTCGTCCTGTTTTCTTGAATGGATTTGTTACCTTGATTTTTACAAGTGGGGTCTGTCTATATTTCGTGTTTGTTGACTTTGTAAATTTTATTCTTTTGGACATTAAAGTCTGGACTTCCTGCATACTAAATTATATCCGCCGGAGATCTTTCAGTAGTGTTGTGTTTATAGATATATAAATTAATATAAGTGTGGGGTGCCGCAGAGGGGATCCCTCGCCGCAGTCACTGGGTCACTGGTAAGTCAAGGTAAGTGTGAAGAGCCGTAGAGGGGATCCCTCGCCGCTGTCACTGGTATGTTGCCGGTTGGCTGATTATCTTCAGGTGCTCCTCGTACGGGAGTAGGAGGTAGTAAGTTCACTTGAAGAGTTATGCTGATTATGTTGGGAAGATGACTGTCTTCCTTTTGGCTTCTGGCCTAGGGACTCAGATAGCTATGGTAATTTATAATGATAACGACAGTTGCCGGAGTAAGTTTTATGAGCAATTGCTCTTTATTCTTTGAATGTCAAAAACGAACTGCTTATAAGCTAACAAAGGAAAAACTTCATAGCGGCCTCTGCCAATGCGCAGAGCTTCTGCCGGCTATGCATGAGCTTCCGGCCAAATGCTTGGTCAGCAATTTGACCGGTGCTGGTGTGCGGACGATCAGTCCGGTTAACTTAGTTAACTATTCCCTCCTCAAGATTAAGGCCGCCCTCGGCTGACCCTATTTGGGCGAGAACTTCCTTCAGTTGGGCTGTAGATTTCTTGGCCCTAGTGGTTCGCTGCCAGGTTAAACCGATGCAGATAAGAGCGCAGAAAATTGCTCCTGCAACTAGCGCTATCTGACTTAGTCGGTATCCGTCGACGTCTTTCTCGAAGTTCCTGATTTGCTCCAAGTTCTTTTCACTTAAACGGTGAAGGTATGGGAGGCTCAGGATCTCGTGTTTCATCGAGATATTAAGGACTGGGGAATTAGCCACTCCCGGCGCCCTATTCTGGACCATGTCATGATTAAAGAAGACGGTCTCGTTGACCATGGCACTCTCAATGAATGTTATGAGGTGCGTGCCTCTAATGTGGATGGCCGTTCCATTGTCCACACGCACGAGTGCTGGTCTGTCATTGATGACGATTATTCCTTCGTCGACGTAGGTGATCGGATGTAGATCACTCTGCTGTGTGTCGCAATGTGCTACGACCCCAGCGTGGAGCTCCTGGGCACACGAGCTCACTGAAGATAACTGGCAAAATGTTGCCCCTGGTGTTATGGAGAAATTCTTTACTG